GGCAGCTCCTGTGAAAGCAGCTAAACCTGAGAAATGCTTCATTCTTTTCCTTGGAAGGTACCTGAAGCTGTTGAGGCATCTGGAGCGTGAAACGAGGTGGAAACACATCTGAAAACAAGAGCTACGTCTGGGCAGACTTAAGGCTGGAGAAAGCACGCCCCGTAAGGTGAGACAGCATCAGGAGTCGTGCGCGTGGAAGTTCTGCTCCTAACACGGCTTTCCAAAGGTTGTCCTGCACCTACAGACCAGCCAGGCTCCTCATCCGGACAATACAGCGAATACATAAACAGCTGGGGTACGGCAGGTGATGGTATAGCTCCTGCTGCTGCAATAGGCATTCCGTGATCGTGTCAGCCAGCCTTCAGGCTAGGTAAAGGTTTGGTAGTGTTTAATTTTTCACTTCACACTGATGAGAAGTAAGATAGCGATCGCTCTCAAGGATGCCGTCGCAAAGGCGAAGCGAGTCAGGTCGCTCCCGCCTCTTGCGCTCGCTGAAGTTGTGGTGAGGGGAGCAAATCTTTTCCTTCTGCGGTGCTGGGCTGCCCGCTCCTGAGGTTCCGTAACGGCGTTTGAATGTCAGCAGCGGCTGTTTGGCGTTAGTCATTCTGAAAAGGCTTTTAGAGGAAAGCGGATGCAGGAAAATTCAAAGTTTAGGTAAAGTGAAGGTGAAAGAATAGTGGGGTTAAAGATTGGAGCATTTCCAACTGGCAAGGGCTGTTTCTTTAGGTCGTGAACAAAGGTTGCGTCTTATGTTTGGGCTGTGTGTTTGCAACCTTCCACTGACGTAAAAAGGAAACCACCTGCTTGTAAATACTGTGTTGTCTGAAAGTCTTATCCTGCTCCAGGGAGGTTTTGGTTTTATTCTGTAAGGGAAGGGGGATTTGATCATCATGCTAAAGTATGGAGGATGCCTTCATTTAAAGCAAAAATGTTTGTTTCTTTCCCAGCATAAATACGTACGTTCAGTGGCTCAAAACCTCTCTCTCGGGTGGCACACGGACATACTCAAAATGTCGATGGATATAACTTTCCTCGGCACAGGCTCGGCGTATCCCTCTCCAACAAGAGGAGCGTCGGCGTTAGTGCTTCGCAGGGAAGGAGAGTGCTGGCTCTTCGACTGCGGAGAGGGAACTCAAACGCAATTCATGAAGAGCCACCTCAAAGCAGGTTTGTGCTGTTGAAAGGTACTGTGATGAGGGATGGGGAAGAAGTTTCATGAGACCTAAACAGAATGCTTTGTCCTTGTGCTCACGGTATTTGAATACATACTAAACATGCATAAGCATCCGACGGTGCTGCCGACGGGTGGCAGTTGCTGAACCTGCTGTGCAGTAATCCTCGATTGCCCTTTGGTAACGAATTGTGTTCACGAACCAAACTCTCCGGCTTTAATTTCTCGGGCTTTGTAATTTCAACCGTGGACCACAGACCAGCTTTAAACTGGCACGGCTCGTATTTGTCTGAAGACGGCTCTAGACAATACCTGCTGTGAGTCTTCCTGTCAATAAATATGGTGCTTTTGTTTTCAAGGAAGGTTGTGTCTGTTCGTGGTAACTTCTACATTTTGGAAAATAAAGTGGAAACCAGGCTTGCCTTCAGTCGCTCTGCTTTTGCAGTCTACAGCGGCAAGAGCAGACTTCTGACTCTCGAGTTACAAAGTTGGAATTGCCAGTTATAAACAGAAAACCAACCTCCTGCTCCCCCTAAATCTGAAGCTGTCGGGGGATATAACGACCAAGTGAATAGACTTAATTTTTACTAAATTCACTGATTTTTACTAAATTGTTCTTATATCGAAAGAAAGAGATTCTGTCCTTCCTATTGCTTTCTCCAGGTTCCTAACAGATCCTGGAGAAAGAGCCTTTCTGCAAGGAAGTGGGAACTCAGCTAGCAGAGGAGACTGAGGCAGACTGATTAAAGTACACGTGTCCATAGTGAGAGAAAATTCTGGGCTTTTTTAATCGAGCAAAGGCAGGGCCTAGTGCCTGAGAGCTGGAGTGAGACAAACTTGGACATGAAACAAAGCCCAAATCTTTTACGTGCAATTTTTTGAAACAAACCAGTCAGGAACCATGGGGTTCTTACCCTTTAAAAAAAATGATGTTCATTTCATGTGCTAGAACAACACAAATTGCACTTTTATGTCTCATTAGTCCACGGTTCCCATGTAACGTATGAAAGCACAACCACTTCCCAGCGCTTCTTTGCGTTTTAATGTGGCACACGCCACCAGTCGATTCTGTTCCGTGCTTGTAGGACACTTTGCTTAGAAGCAACTAAAACTTTCGTCTCGGAAATCTTGACAAATCAAGCCAAAATAAACCTTGTGTGGAAATTTATCGCTACTGTGGAAGAAAAATACTTTGTGGTTTGGGATTTGTTTCTTAAAACACGGGTTTTATTTTAATTTCCCTCCTTCCTTATTTCCTACTTCTTGCCGAGAAGCGATTATTTCTGAATTGTTATGGTGTTCACTTATTTTCCTATCTTCTTCTTATTTGTTTTTCTTCTCCTGTTGTTCAATAGGCAGAATTACCAAGATTTTCATCACCCATCTTCACGGTGACCACTTTTTCGGACTTCCTGGCCTGCTGTGTACACTTAGCCTCCAAAGTAGCCCTGACCCAAACAAACCCCCTGTTGATATTTACGGGCCATTAGGGCTCTACACGGGACCAGTGCCCTGCAGAAGAATTTAAAGATTTTTCTTACTTGGACAGAGAAGAGAGAGCTCCCCAGGGAGCACAAGGGCGAATACTCCACCTGGATCCAGTAGACAACTCCTACTTGCTGGTTGAGGATGAGCAGCTAGTTCTGAAAGCATTTCGCCTTTTTCACCGCATTCCTTCCTTTGGCTTTGTGGTGGAAGAGAAGCCCCGGACGGGTAAACTCAATGTACAGAAACTGAAAGACCTTGGTAACTACTTTGACTTACTTTTCCTCTTTTTAATTTTTTAAATGCCTAAATGCATGTATTCAAGCTGAGCAGTGACTCCAGTTTTCAGGAAATGTAACAAAAGTGGGTTCACAGGCAGTTGAAGTCTTTTTATGATCCCCTTCCTAGAGGTTCTGGCAAATTAGAGCTGCTGTATCTCTCCGTAATCAATTTTAATTCCATTTTCCATTAAAGACATTTTAATACTTCACACCAATGCAGCAGTCTGAATTGGTGTGTAACACTGGTGCCAATTAATATTGCAGACCATTCTCACACGGGGGTGAGTGAACAGGTTGAGATGCTAAAGTTTAAAAAGCACAACGTGGCTTTCAGGGAAACATAAGGCCAGTGTATTTGTATGACTTTATTGACTTTAATATGAAGAATGTAGCTTTCCTTCAAACACACTTCCTGCTAATGTTGCAAGCTCTTTATTCGTATGAAGTGTGTGAAATATCAATTGCTATTTATATTGAGGTTGTATTTTGTCAGTGAGACAGCCCTATATATAGCGTGCCTTTTCTTAAGTGGTTTTTTTTTTTTTTAAAAAACTTGAAACTCCTCATGGTCTCTTTTGCCTTGAAACTCCTCATAATACTTACGGTCTCTTTTGCCTCTGTTTACCAGGAGTTCAGCCAGGTCCTTTATATGGGAAACTGAAGAATGGTACAGCAATCGTTCTAGAAAACGGCGTAACGATTTCTCCTTCAGATGTCTTAGAAGATCCTATTCCTGGAAGAAAAGTCTGCATTTTGGGGGATTGTTCAGGGGTGGTTGGAGATGTGGCCATGAAGCTTTGCTGTGAAGCAGATGTACTGATACATGAAGCCACGTTGGATGATTCCCAAGAGGAAAAGGCCAGGGAGCACGGTCATAGCACCCCAAAAATGGCATCAGATTTTGCAAAACTGTGTAAAGTTAAGAAATTGGTTTTGACTCACTTCAGTCAGCGGTATAAACCAGCTGCTCAGAGAGGCGAGGGAGATGCGGACATCACCGAACTGAAGAGACAGGCAGAGTCGGTGTTAGATGGTCAGGAAGTAAAGCTGGCTGAGGATTTTATGACAATAGAGGTTCCACTGAAAAAGTAAAAATTACGTTGGCAAGCCCTGCATGAAGACATAAGGTAGGATGGTGTTGCATGGCACTTAAAAATAACGGTAGGGTTTCTGGTATCCAGATCAGTTCTCTTTGTGGCACGCAGAGACCCCTTGCAAACTGGAGAGAGTACCAGGTACAGTTAGCGTTGCTTTTGTAAAGCAAGAAAAAAAGGATACTCAAACATCTGGAACTTGGAATAAATTCATTAAGTGATGGTTTTGGACACCTAGCCTCCCCAAAAAAACTGAATGTGTGTATGCTGGCACAAGCCTTCACAGCACAGGGTTCTTCCTTGGACCACAGATGCCTAGAGTGGAGCACTGGCTCATTTGGCTTAATACAGCCCTGAGGGAGGTTTGTGTTCTGCACCAGAATTTAGGATCTTTTGCCTGTCACAAGCTTCTGAAGAACACCTATTTCAAACCTGTATATGGTATTTTGTAACTGTTACCTGATTTCTGTGTATTTATAACGCTGCCAATTGTTTGTAACTGGGGGTGTTGCTGTGCTCAAGTTGAGGAGCTCTTGTGATTCTCCCTTTGCACATGAAGTTTTCTCATAAATAAACACAGCTTAGGCTTCCTGTCAAAAGCAAATCGCTCTCTACAATTTGATTCATTTATAAGCTCTGAAGCGTGAGCCCTAAGTTTGCATCCCTACTCCCTGCATCAGTAGAGTTTTGGAAGCATGCTCTGGAAGTCTTCAGGCAGATGACAAAGCAGTCTTTCCTAAAGTGTTCCTCCAAGTGCATTTTCAAAGACAAATTATCCTGATAAAAGCATGTTTGTGTTTGTAGAAATACCCCTACGGGAGGAATTCCACCGATGTATAGCTCAGTCTGTTTTCTGCAATGACTTCATTCTTTCAGTTAAAGAACACGTAGACCAACTTTATCTCCTTTTCTTCCCACCTCTAAACAACCTAGGAGTTGGAGTTGCCCAAATTTTAGCTCAGTTTTCTGGTCGAAAGTAAAAACAGTGGTTTTGAAAAACCTACCCTAAATACGTTTCCCCTAGCCTGGATCCCTGAAAGCTGAAAACACTTCACAGCTTTCTAATAAACACTGAAAGCTCTGGCAGGTTGAAGCACAGCCGCTAGAGTTTGTGCTTGTACTTCTGTTGAGTTGATGGTAATGCAGATGGGAAATGAATCGCTTTCAATGTGCAATTTCCCTCCCTGCTTTAAATGTAGAATAAGAGAGCTCAAAACCCCTGAAACTGCTCCCACTCCTTCAAGATCTCTCCCTTGTCAATGGCGCGCTGCTCGAAGGCAGTTTGTGTACCGTGGTCATCCTCACCCAGACCAAGCTGGTGAGATGAGGAAGTTAAATCCTGCAGAAAATGTTTCTATACTCTTCATGTTTGCTTCATAAGGCTGTCCCTGGCTGTAATTAAGCAACAGTCTTCAAAGAAGAAGAAAAGGAGTGCGGTTTCCTAGTGGTTGAATAAAAGGATCGAATTGAATTCCGTGTCTTATAGGGATAAGACTCTCTCTTACCTTACTTTCAGACTCTCTCTTACCTGCGGTGACGGCAACTCCGAACTGATCTTAATATTTTGTGCTTCGAATGTGCTTCAAATGCAAAGGAAGTCTTTGATTTCTTTAAAAAAGAAAAAACCAGAAGACTTGCAAGCTTGAAGAACATGACTTCTGGAGCAGAAACTCGCTGACTTCTCTCTTAAAAATAGTGTAAAGTGGGCAGAGTCGACAAATCACGCAGTGGCATGTTCTTTCCCCCCATAAATTGTTTTTCTTTTGTAAAACAGCACGCTGGGCATTAATGGCAGCTGCAGAGATCTTGATGCCACGCTCTGCTTTATGTAGGCAAAAGCTGAGCAGACTCCAGCTATTCTATGTTTCATATGGTGAAAGAATTTTCTTCGTTGTCTTGACCTGCTCCGCTACATCTGCTCCCACACTGGAACAACCAAAAATTCCGCTTTCAAAGCCATTCACAGTTGTGATGTGAACTTTAGGGAACAGCTTCAAGGTTCTGTGGAAATTCACTGGATACCACTTGCAAATGACCAAATCAAAGGATGGAAAAAATAACAAGGGACAATCCAAAAGCCTACGCAACCTGAAATGTGTGCACCCGCCGCTGCAGCTCATCTCTCCGCCGTGCTGGATCATGCTGCTCCCGAACTGGGTTATCCATCCCAGCGGTAAATACATTTTTGCATTCGTGTGGTTAGTTAATTGCCGTGAATTCAGGAATATCTTCGGTTCCCATTCAAATGATGGAGGGTGTGGGTAGATGGGTGAGATGAAGCGACGGCGCGGGCTCCCAGCGTGGAGGGAGCCTCGCTCCTCCGTGCCCCGCGGTCCTCGTGTCCCCGTGGTCCAGCTCAGCGTGCTGGTCCGGTGCTTTCCTGGCTAAACAACCACTGCTCCTTGCTAGCCTGCAATAAAACAGCCTCCGGGCTAATTTTTGCCTGGATTACCGAGTCAATTGGCGAGCTGACGGCATGACCTGTGCAAGGGCTGAATCAAAGAGGGTGCAGAAGTGCCGGGCCAGAAATGGGGAGCTGCTTGGGATCCCACCCTTTTTAGCAGGATTGAGCTGCTATACTGGGTCAGTCCTACCACATAGCTACATCCTAAATATGTTTTAGGATCTAAATCCTAAATAAGGAAGGTCAGTTTGGATCAAGAACAGCAAGGGGAAGA